TCATGTACCCAGTTTCATGTACCCAGTATCATGTACCCAGTATCATGTACCCAGTATCCTGTATCCAGTATCCAGTATCCAGTATCCAGTATCCTGTATCCTGTATCCAGTATCATGTATCATGTACCCAGTATCCTGTATCTGTATCCAGTATCCTGTATCATGTACCCTGTCTCATGTATCCAGTATCCAGTATCATGCACCTAGTATTATGTACCCAGTGTTTAGTTTTTATATATGTATGAAGCCAATTTTTTACAGATTGATTCTTGCTGAAGAAGTTTAAACCCTCTTACATGAACTGAGCTGAAAACTTTAGAATGGGATATCCTTAATACCGTTCTGTTAATCAATCTAGAGATTAATAATAAGAGGAGAGCAAGCATAATTTAATCTGGAGATTAAGAAAAAGAGTGGATAAAGCATTAATCCCGATATCCACCATTCAAAAGTTCCCAGCTCAGAACACAAAGGACAATGAATGAAAAATTGAATTTTAATGTTTTTTTTTCAAAAATTAGATTTTTTTCAAAAATTAGATTTTTTTCGAAAATTGTACTGATTGTACAGATTTTTTAAAAAAAATGTACGAATTTCTTAAAAAAATGTACGGATTGGTTTAAACAAAATGTACGGATTGTACGGATTTTTTTTTAAAAACTGTACGGATTGTACGGATTTTTTTTCGAAAATTGTACGGATCGTACGGATTTCTTCTGAAAATGTACGGATTTTTGTACGGATTTGTTCAAAAAAGTTTTGGCCACCCTGTAATCAGCTCCAGGTAAACGTAAAGGTTTATAGATAGTTTAGTAATAGGCTCCATTAGAGGTTTTACTGGTTAATAAGATCTACAAATAGGTTTTGATAGTTAATCAGCTCCAGCTCCAGGTAAACGTAAAGGTTTATAGATAGTTCAGTAATAGGCTCCATGAGAGGTTTTACTGGTTAATAAGATCTACAAATAGGTTTTGATAGTTAATCTGCTCTAGCTCCAGGTAAACGTAAAGGTTTATAGATAGTTCAGTAATAGGCTCCATGAGAGGTTTACTGGTTAATAAGATCAAGAAATAGGTTTTGATATTTAATTAGCTCCAGGTAATTGTAAAGGGTTTAGATAGTTTAATAATAAGCTCCATGGGAGGTTTACTAGTAAATAAAATCCAGGAATATGTTTAGATAGTTAATTAGCTCCAGAGTTTTATATATATAAATATTTATTTATATATAGCTTACTAGCTCCAGGTATAGGTTTAGATAGATAATTACCTCTAGGTAAAGTCTTAAGAGGTTTACTAGTTAACTAGATCCAGGAAAAGGTTTAGAAAGGTAAGCAAATCCAGGTACAAGTTTAAATAGGTTTAAACAGAAAGGATACTTATTTAGGAGCATGCTACAACTGCAGATCAGAGAGCGGATCCAGGAGATAAAGAAGAAGAGAAGCTTGGCCCAGGCTTCTGGTTTAACTCATCAAAGACAGGAGAAAAGTCTGCTCAGGCTCAAACTAGAGAATAAGATAAACTCAGCAGGTAAAATTTATTTCAGAAATCCTTCACCTAGTTATAAAATGTGAATACACACAATATACGCTGTACTTTAAACTATCGGTTATTCTCACACTTGTATTAACCGGTAAGATCCAGATCCAGAGGAAATCAGAAATCCTTCACCTAGTTATAAAATGTGAATACACACAATATACGCTGTACTTTAAACTATCGATTATTCTCACACTGTATTAACCGGTAAGATCCAGATCCAGAGGAAATTTGTATTTTGAAAAATTTTGAATGATTCCACAAATGTTGGGGGGTTATTTTTCAGAACAAATAAAACTATTTTTTTTCATTCCTATGCTATGGTATATGCACCCAATTACCGAGCTCTCATGACACTGGCTTTTTTTAATCAAAAGTATGATTTTAATATCAGAGTAGGATTTAGATTTTGTTAAAAAGTTTTGATTTTAAGGAAAAAATTGAAACTCGAATTTTTACAAGTGTAGGTAGAATTACTTTTGAATATTTTGAACCCTTCAAACATGGAAAATATTTCCCTTTAAATGAAAAATGAACACTCCAGGGCTTCTTCTATTGTAGGAACTAAGGACTCCCTGGTTCCAGATATCCAGGCTGGGCTCGAGAACTCTAGAGATCACTGCAACACTAGCTCGGAGATCAACTGTTCTGGTTCCAGTGTCGAAGACAGGGTTAGATTGGTCGGATGTTGGTCCGACTCCGGGAGTTATGTTTCTGCAAGCCAGGAGTCTTCAAAGTCAAATACTGTTAGGAAAATGTTTACTCAAACTATGACCCATGACATCATTTTGCTTTTACGAAACGGGCGACAACACTTCTCTTTGATCTACAGTGATCCAGTATAAGTTGCAAACTCTCGCGAAAAACTCGGTGAGAATTTTGCCAATTATTATTTCTTAAAACCTAACGTTAAAAGCAAGTGCGTCACAGCTTCAAAATGATGTCCAGGTTTACACAGAAGTATAAATCAGTTAGTTAGGTAAAATCAAATGCCAAGGTGTTGCGGCACTTCAAAGTTGAACCAGTCTTAAAAACTAATGCAACTCTTTAAAGAAATCTGGATGTATGTTATATCATTTTTCCAAGTTTCTGAAGAATCATAACGTTATTTTTTCATATTTGGTTTAAACATTTTTGCTTCTAGATCACGTGGCGAAATCCTGAAACGCATCATGGAGATGCGAATGCGTAACAATTAATTTAACCATATTAACGTCTTAGTCTGCACAATCTTTAGGCCACTGAAAGGATTTAATTTTAGCGGAATTTGACTGTTGATGTTTTCCAATTATTTTTTTTATTTTTTTTTTTTAATCCTCGTTTGTTCGTTGAAATGCTGACTAGAGCTTTCTTTTGAATTGAACTTTTTGGTACTGGTGTAATATTGTAATTATTTTTTAACAGAATTATTCTCATTTTTTATATTTTTTCTTGAGACCCTTCGTACAACATTGCATTTTTTGCCTTCTTGTTATCAGACAATTATTGGTAATAATGTACCGTCTACCAATAACGCTCCTCCCTTGATCTTGGCTTGGAGTTAGTAATTCTATTCTGATTATTTGATGTAAACATATTTTTTCTCATCAAACAATGTTAAGTTTGCTTTTTTTTCTATTTGTAAATTTGTTGAACCAGTGAAATACAGGATAAAATATCGTCTTCTCTAGCCCAGTAACAAGGCCCGCTTATGGATGAGTCAGAAACCTGGATTTACGTCAGACCAGTTTATCAGAAACCCTCTAGGGTTATAACTGAGACTAATATTAGTTTAGTAAGTTTAGTTTACTCCGTACTGTGGTTAGAGCAGGATAGTGGACTGGATACGCAGTAGTTAGTTAGCAACTTAGCATAGCAGTCTTAACACCGTCAACACAGCGCAGGGAAGAATGTGAAAATCATATATAATACAAGTTATACATCTAACAGACAATTAGTCGGTGATTTACTATCGACTAATTTTATAAAGTTAGAATTAAGATTGAGACGACTAAATAATTTTATTACGATATTAACAATTCTACTAAATGTAGGATTTATTTATTATTGTAAAATCAGCTGCAGTTTAATCGATTATTATAATAACATGGCACTTATTCCTCAAATTGTGGAAAATTTCTTGTTGCGCAATTTCGAGTTGAACATTGTAGAACTGATAACAAAGTTATCTGTGATACAGTTGGAACCCCCCCCCCCCCCTGCATCATTCTGACAAGCTGACTTTACACTTTTTTATCCCTTAGAAAGTTGTTAAATTACGTCTTTCTTTTGTAATGATTCAGAAAAAAGAAAACGCCTTCAAAATATTATGCTTCGACATGTTTTCGTAGAACAGAATTCTTTTTTGTTTATCGGCTCTTTACTTTTTTATCATTGCTTAGGGTCCGTAACATTTTAGCTTCCTGGATCCAGACCTGCAAAATATTTACGAAAACGACGAAGCAAAAAAAACCTTTTGAATTTTTACAAATAAAGGATTGGCGAAAATCTCTCAATTTAGACAAGTTTCACGCCAAAAAAGTTGGTGAAAAAAAAACAAGTCAAAAGTGCTGAATTCAACAATTTGCAGGACTGATCCAGTTTTGTGCTTAAAAATTAAATTAATCTTAATTTCTACAGGCCCCTTTTGTTTTATTCTGAGATCGAGTTAGTAATTTGATGTTGGATTAAGTTAAAGGAACTTGATAGCGGATTACGAAAGATAAGGAAGAAAGGCAATCCCCAAACTTTTTATTTTGATAAAATCTCATTAGTTGGTCTGACCACAGACAAATAGTTCAGCCAAATATTCTACAATCTGTGATGATTGAATATTTCAAGGGACAAAACATGTCACAATGTTAAATGTCTAAAAATATAATTTTCCTGTCAATAAAAGATATCTTTTAAGTTCTTATTAGTGTTAAAGGAAAGGAATGATGAGCACTACAGAAACAGCCCTGTATTTTTGGTCAACATTTTAAATTATTTCAGATTTTTATTTTTCTTGGTATAAATATATCTGTGATAAAATGTCACTGTATCCGTCCCTAGAAGATATGCAGGTGGATCATATGATGCAGGTCAGTTAATGACGTCACGAACGTTTTCGTAAAATATATGTCCTGGAGGTATATTGCTAGATTTACCGAGTCATTGTTGATCATTTTATGTCAAATACGTCATGGGATTTATATTTTGAACTCATACGACATCAATGGTGTTCGATTATGAATCAATTATGATATTGAAATTTCATTGATGATACCAAATCTCACTTAGACCTTAAAAATTATAGGGGGTATATCTTTGTTATAAACATTCTCTGTAACCTTTTTCTGATGTAATTGCTGCATTTTTATAAGATAGTCTTGGAATTCTATGTTACATTTTATTCTAGACAGAAAAATGCAATAAACACTTTTTTTTACAAAATTAAAATCAATTTTTTCTAGGCTGAAAGGTCTGGTCATGTTCTACCTACTCCGAATCAACCTCTGCCTTATCCGCCAGCCTCCGCCCCTGGTTTATCCTCCGCCTACCCTGGACTGGCGGAGTATATGGGTCTGGAGTTAACTCCGGAAGAAATTGCGCTGAATATGCCAGAATACACACCTCAACAGGTACTGTGATAAATTTACAGGATAGGATTAAAGGGACTGTAGACGAAATTTACAGGATATCTCATAAAGGATAGGATTAAAGGGACTGTAGACGAAATTTACAGGATTTCTAATAAAGGATGAGATTAAAGGGACTGTGGAATAAATTTACAGAATATATCTCATAAAGGATGAGATTAAAGGGACTGTAGACGAAATTTACAGGATATCTCATAAAGGATGAGATTTAAGGGACTGTAGACCAAATTTACAGGATATCTCATAAAGGATGAGATTAAAGGGACTGTAGACGAAATCTACAAAATATCTCAAAGGATGGGATTAAAGGGACTGTAGAATAAATTTACAAGATATCTCATAAAGGATGGGATTAAAGGGACTGTAGACGAAATTAATAGGATTTCTCATAAAGGATGAGATTAAAGGGACTAGACGAAATCCACAGGGTTTCTCTTAAAGGATAAGACTAAAGGGACTGAAGACGAAATTCCAAAAGACCTCTCGACAAAAAAAGCGACATATCCGATTTTCAACGGTATTCTTATGAGGATGATATTTCTTTCGATGTCTTCAAAGTCACTTTTGATAAAAAAAATCGATTTTAAATGATTATAGCTTTAAGCTAGAAAAATAAGAATATTTCATTCCTTCTTTATCAGACAAAGGTTTTAAGGTTATCCATGTAAATCGGACAAGCCACTCTATAAATAGTGAGACACTTGAATTTATCAGTCCCTTTCATGACTACCTACAACAGGTGTCAAAAAATGGGGTTTAGCCTTAATGAAAAGGTACCCTGCCTAAATCACTTGGATTTGTTAGGTGTGTGTCTTTAAGTCTATAAAAGCATAAAAAGTAAGTCCGACCTCTGGCACTTTTCTAATTTTTGCCGGATTTTCGGAGATTTTCACATATTTCAATTTTTTATTGTATTTTTCTGACTGTTTCACAGAAAAATCAAAATTTACTTTTTTGGCTTTTAGAGACCTACAAACACACACCTCACAAATCCAAGTGATTTTGGCGGGGTACCTTTTCATCAAGGCTAAACCCCATTTTTTGACACCTGTGCTAAAGCGACAAAAAAATACGATCTAAGGGTTCATTTTATTTACTTATTTTGAATGTTTTATTTTGGTAGATTGGTTGGTTAGTTTGTAAGATTGTTAATTTTTGGTTGACTACTTAATAGATGTTTAAACAATTCTTAATTTTATCTGATATCACCTGGAAATTACTTTCTTTAAAAGTCTATCTAAATCCGTAGTCCTTAGTGCTAGTAACTCCGTATTATTATTATTTAAATGTGCTTGGTTTCCGGGATTAATTGTGCGGTTAAAAAAAAATCTCATGAGCATTTTGTCAACCACTGATTTATAAAGACAATTGCATGATATCGTGGCTGTACGAACAAATTAGAACATTTAAAAAAAGATTATTTATTTATGGTATAACAACTCCTTTCAAAAAACTTGGAATTTTAGGTTAACTTAAAAAATAAATTATTAATTCTAAGTGAGAACCAGAAAGTTGTGGAATAGGATTAGGACTTAAAGGCAAAACTTAGAGATGTTGTTTATGTTGTTACAAGAAAAAAGGAGTTTTACTAGCAACTTGTAATATCAATTATTACGTGAAATGGGTCTTATTAACACTGCACAATTGTTGTGTCTCATGTTTATTGGACTATTTGAAGTCATACTTTGGGTCCAAAAGTCGTCTTAATATTTCAGAGTTTTCTGGTTCTTGTACATACATCCATATTTTATGTACACTGTATGTATGTGCACCCTGCTGCCTGGGCGGTCTGGGGGGCCCACAATGGGGTCTCTTGCAGATTTCACTTCCTTATGATTCCTTATGTACAGTACTTTAATTTATGATGTATTGTGATAAAATTTGGATATTACATACATATATCTTTAAAAATTTTAATCGACTAAAAAAGAAAGTATTTTTATTTGTCAGCTCCTCACCTTTTCAGCTACACAATTTAATAGTCATTCTCCCTAAAGGCCAACCATCCATTCTTGTTGTTTAATGTTTAGTTATCGGAAATTATTAGGCTACCGAATAGATTTTTGGGAACTGAAAATCTTCTGGATCCATTCTCTTTTTTAAAATCAGGAAGTTTGAAGGAATTGTAAGAGTAATTTCAATTGACCCTCCATGCAAACATGTCAACGCCCGATTTACAAGTGATCCCTTGAAATCTTTGTTTGATAGAGTATGAATTAGATATCAAAGTATTTCTACTGCAGGAAACCATTAAAAAAATGATCAGATTTAAACACTTTTCAAATCTAGAAAATCAACAATATCTTCCACATTATTGATCAGATGTTGTTAATAGGACAGTGCCATCTTTTTATGAGGGGTCACTTGAAATTACGGTTACAGTCCCTTAAAAAAATATTTGTTTAATGGCTGGTAGTATATCTATGTATATCTAGTATTATTAGGTAACATTATCCTGACCATCAGGTAATCTAGGTTTACACATCACATACTCAAATATACGCATAATGATGCAAACCAAACATTCTTAGATATATTTTTTATATATTATCTCAAGCCCCCTCCCCCCCCCACCACCACCATTCGGCTAAAACAATCTTATCCGTAAATAGTAAAAATGTAGGTTTTTGTGGATTTCTTGGTTTTATTTTTCTGGACAAAATAAATTTGAAAATTTTGGTCACAAAACTAGATACAAGTACAGCATTTTAAAATTTTCTCTCTAAACAAGATATTTTTTTTTTTTTAATGATAATCTCCATATTTTTGTTGATAGTGAACTAACCCATTTTCTTAGTTGTTATCCGTTGATTTTCATATTATGAAGGATATAACGTTGTTTTATTTGAAATGGCTGAGATGTTTTTGGCGTTATTACCACTCTCTATATATATGTTATATATATCCATAATATATATTTATTTAGATATTGTGGCACACATCAGATCTGTGTCAGCCCAAATTGCAGATATTCTAGATTTTTATTATTTTCATTTATTTCTGAATTTATCTTAATTGTATCTGTTAAAAGGATTTGTCAAAAGCTTAAATTTGTAATCAATATATCTTTGTAACCTGGCCATCTGACGGTGTAAACATTTGATATTTTAAGTTTTGAATATTATATCTTCTCAGAATTTAAAGTTTGAATTGTGTAAGGTTTTAAAGATATAGGGAAATGAAAATCACGAGTTTTCGGCAAAAACTCAATTTCTTTAATCATGGTTTCTAAATTCTTGGGGCCGGATCTTAGATCCAGAATGTTCCTTTATGGTTCAAACAGTACGTTCTGTCAAATTATGTCGACCTTTACGTCAAAAACATAGTTGAGTTGTGTCGAGTCGAGCAAGAGTCGAGTCGAGTCGAACTATTCAGGTTTTTAGTTTTCTGTAAGACTTGTAAAATAGCACAGTTTTAGAAATTCATAATTTCTCTTTTTTTCTATAAAACTGGAATTAAGAAGAAGGAAGTCTCTTGTGGAATGGACCATAAAATTAGGCTGAGCTTAAAATCCAGGAATTCTAGATTACAAAACGATAAGGGAGAAAGGTTGATGCCCCCTTCTTTTCATAAACTCCTCTGGCGTGCACTTGTCTTAACTTAACAAACCAAGAGATTAGAATGGAAAAAAAATAATGGGATGGAATGGATGGAAAGAGTTGGAATTATTTGGGGGGGAGGGATGGGATGGGATGGGATGGGATGGGATGGGATGGGATGGTGAAGATTTGATAATGCATATTAATGTGTGGCGATGTTGGGTTAGCATGAGATAAAATGAAAAGGGATGACAGATAGAATACATTAAATGAGAAAGTATGGTTTAGTACCAAGGTTGGGTTTAGTACCAAGGTTGGGTTTAATATCCAGGTTGGGTTTATTACCAAGGTTGGGTTTAGTACCAAGGTTGGGTTTAGTAATAAGGTTGGGTTTATTACCAAGGTTGGGTTTAGTACCAAGGTTGGGTTTAGTACCAAGGTTGGGTTTAGCAATGAGGTTTGGTTTGGTTTGGTTTGGTTAGGTTTATTACCAAGGTTGGGTTAAGTGCCGACTACCGAGGTTGGGTTTAGTGCCAAGGTTGGGTTTAGTACCAAGGTTTGGTTTATTATCGTGGTTTGGTTTAGTACCAAGGTTGGGTTTAGTTACAAGGTTGGGTTTAGTTCCAAGGTTGGGTTTAGTACCGAGGTTGGGTTTAGTACCAAGGTTGGGTTAGTACCAAGGTTGGGTTTATTACCAAGTTTGGGTTTAGTACCAAGGTTGGGTTTAGTACCGAGGTTGGGTTTAGTACCAAGGTTGGGTTTAGTACCGTGGTTGGGTTTAGTACCGAGGTTGGGTTTAGTACCAAGGTTGGGTTTAGTACCGAGGTTGGGTTTAGTACCGTGGTTGGGTTAAGTACCGAGGTGGGAAAATTCTTTGCCTCGGGAGAAAGAGAGTGCCACTGGAGGTATTATCTTCCGTTCACTTCGTACCAAACAGTCGGAGAACTCAGAGCATCCTTTACATATAAATCTACATTTAGTACCAAACAGCCATAGAACTCAGAGCATCCTTTATATATATAAATCTACATTTAGTACCAAACAGCTGGAGAACTCAGAGCATCCTTTATATATAAATCTACATTTAGTACCAAACAGACGGAGAACTCAGAGCATCCTTTATATATAAATCTACGTTTAGTACCAAACAGCTGGAGAACTCAGAGTATCCTTTATATTTAAATCTACATTTAGTACCAAACAGTCGGAGAACTCAGAGCATCCTTTATATATATAAATCTACATTTAGTACCAAACAGCTGGAGAACTCAGAGCATCCTTTATATATAAATCTACATTTAGTACCAAACAGTCGGAGAACTCAGAGCTTCCTTTATATATAAATCTACATTTAGTACCAAACAGCTGGAGAACTCAGAGCATCCTTTATATTTAAATCTACATTTAGTACCAAACAGCTAAATCTACATTTAGTACCAAACAGCTGGAGAACTCAGAGCATCCTTATATATTTAAATCTTCATTTAGTTCCAAACAGTCGGAGAACTCAGAGCATCCTTATATATATAAATCTACATTTAGTACCATTGTCGGAGAACTCAGAGAATCCTTTATATTTAAATCTACATTTAGTACCAAACAGTCGGAAAACTCAGAGCATCCTTTATACATATAAATCTACATTTTTGTTCAACCCTCGCCTATTAAAATATTAAAATGAAAAATTCTTTTTTGTAGTTATCAGGAAATAAGCTTTTACAAGATCATGAAGAAAACCCCTATTTTTCACTGAAAACAGTTACTTTTACTTAATTTTTTACTAGAAGTTAGCATTTCCACTAAAACTGACATTGCATTAAAAATAAAATAATTCCCATTCACATGAACATAAAAAAATCCTCGATGTGTAAGACATCTCTTGTTTTATCGTGCAATTAATAAGTTTTTAATGGTTTGTTTCTTTTATTTTTAGGTCTGGTTTTGACCAATTCCATCTTCATTTATTAGAACTATAAAGGAATGTAATGTGACTTTAAAGAGACATTAAGTCTTCCCAAAATTATAGAAATATCCTATTTACGCTCCTAAATTTTCCATTGCGGTTTCTTCGCTGCGGTTGCGGATTGTGCAGTAGAAACAATATAGGAAATTAAGCTAGTAATCAAGAAAGAAACTTAAGGGTTTAAAGATTACTGTTGTGAATCTTTACTGAAGGACTACTTGAAATAACGTGTACAGTCCCTTTAACATTCCTTAAAATTCGCATCAAAAGTATAAAGTAATATTTGCAAGGTTTTCAGATGAAATAAATGAAATGATTAGTGAAGAACATGGTAGAGGATAGTGAAGGCTAGATCATTGATATTCTACACTATGGTGTCCAAGTCAATATCTGCTTACTTCTTACCATCCTCCTGTCTTACTTTCAGGATACGTTCACAAATATCATTTCTTTTCTTTAACGGGAAAGGTTCACAAATATCAATTCTTTTCTTTAACGGGAGGGGTTCACAAATATCAATTCTTTTCTTTAACGGGAGGGGTTTACAAATATCAATTCTTTTCTTTAACGGGAGGGGTTTACAAATATCATTTCTTTTCTTTAACGGGAGGGGTTTACAAATATCAATTATTTTCTTTAACGGGAGGGGTTTACAAATATCAATTCTTTTCATTAACGGGAGGGGTTTACAAATATCAATTTTTTTTCTTTAACGGAAGGGGTTTACAAATATCAATTCTTTTCTTTAACGGGAGGGGTTTACAAATATCAATTTTTTTCTTTAACGGAAGGGGTTTACAAATATCAATTCTTTTCTTTAACGGGAGGGGTTCACAAATATCAATTATTTTCTTTAACGGGAGGGTTTACAAATATCAATTCTTTTCTTTAACGGAAGGGGTTCACAAATATCAATTCTTTATCTATAAATCAAAGGGGTTCACAAATATCAATTCTTAATCTATAAATCAAAGGGGTTAACAAATATCAATTCTTTATCTATAAATCAAAGGGGTTCACAAATATCAATTCTTTATCTATAAATCAAAGGGGTTCACAAATATTTATTCTTAATTTTTAAATCTGGTTTTGGTTTCCAATAAAATTATCTACGATGAAATCTAAGACCTCATCAGATGATCAGATTTTGAATTGAATTGTACAGCAGGGAGTTTTCTGAACCTGGAGATATTTTTCATTTTAGTAGTTCACAGGTTCAATATAGATACATATATATACTTAGCTTGTCTGTCTGTCTGTCTGTCTGTTAGTATACAATAAACGTAAAAACTGCTAAACTGACCGAGCTCAAAATTTATGAGTCGGGAGCTTACAAGAACTCAATGAAGGTTAATGGCTGGTTGAAGTTGAAAAGTTTGCCAGGGAGAATGTCGAAACTGATTAAAACATCAATTCAAAAGATCTGCGAACATTTTGAAATTAATTTTAAATGGCGACTCCGAGAGTTCAAAGCTAACAATGTTTCTTGGAAATGGGCCACAAAGTCCTAAAAACTAAAAAGCCTAGTACAAGACAGTTCAGGTTTAAGATTAGATATTTCAGTAGTTCACTGGTTTAATATATATAATAAAACAAGACTTTCGTAAATATATATGTTGCCGATAGCCGACCAAACGGCTGGACCGAATGGGCTGAAATTTTTTGTGGACACTCACGGTGGCCGGGGGATGTTTAAGGCTAAAAAAAAACTAATTTTTTAAAAAAAAATTTTTTTCACGGGCAACGCCGGGCCCCTTCAGCTAGTATTAGATATTGCAGTAGTTCACAGGTTTAATAAATTATATATTTCAGTATTTCACTGGTTTAATATTAGATATTGCGGTAGTTCACAGGTTTAATAAATTATATATTTCACTATTTCACTGGTTTAATATTAGATATTGCGGTAGTTCACAGGTTTAATATTAGATAATTTAAATTTTTAGTAATTTACAAATTTGCAAAAAGTGTGACTAAGAATAAAGTTAAATATTTTTTTTCAGCTTTTTTCCTGTAATTCACAATAACAGAGATAGTTTTAAGCAAATTCACTTTTTAGAATTCGCTAGATAAATTGATACTCTGAATGTGAGCAAAATCGTGGTTCAAAACCTTCATGTTAATTTCGGTCACCCTGTCGTTGTCAAAGTTAATTTTTCTTTTCTCAAATTTTCTATGATTCTTTCAAGTTTAAAGAACAAATTATAAATTCACTAATATCATATTTTAAAGTTTGTTAGAAATGTTTAGATTAGTAAACAGTCCCTTGAAGTTAAATGACATATAGTTCTGTTTAGATTAGTAAACAGTCCCTTGAAGTTAAATGACATATAGTTCTGTTTAGATTAGTAAACAATCCCTTGAAGTTTAATGGCATATAGTTCTGTTTAGATTAGTAAACAGTCCCTTGAAGTTTAATGGCATATAGTTCTGTTTAGATTAGTAAACAGTCCCTTGAAGTTAAATGACATATAGCTCTGTTTAGATTATTGAACAGTCCCTTGAAGTTCAATGACATATAGCTCTGTTTAGATTATTGAACAGTCCCTTGAAGTTAAAATGAATTACCCTGTTGTTGAATCCCCAGCTAGCTCCCCGTTAATGTGCTTCCTCCATCAGTCTTAGTTTCCCTTGACTAAAATAAAACTGAAAGAATATCTTTGTTTGAGCAAAATTACTTGTTAAATTAAATTAGGCTGGTTTGGTTAAATTTTAGAATTTTCATTTGTCATTCCACATAGACTCCGAGTTCACAATTGTCATGTACTGAGAAAAAGTTAGTAAAAAATGTTTTTGTTTGAACAAAATTACTTGTTAAATTAAATTAGACTATTTGTTATTCCACACAGTATTTAAGTTCTCAATATTCATATACTTTTTTTAGAAACTAAAATAGACAAAAAAAAGCTGAAGAAATATTTTCGTTTAAACAAAATTAATTAAGGTTAAATTAAATACATTTCATACATTTCATAAATTTCATACATTTCATAAATTTCATACATTTCATAGATTTCATACATTTCATACATTTCATACATTTCATACATTTCATACATTTCATACATTTCATACATGCAGTACCACCCAGAGGAATATTTCACATTGTCTACTTAATGTAGACACTTCTTTCCAGAAACTGACAAGATCAAATTAAAATCTAGTATTTTAAAGGAACATTAAGCGTAATTTCATGTGACCTGGTATTTAAAGAGGAACAGTACCGATTCACAACGGTACTCTTTACACTGAGATCTCTGTCCTTGATAATCAGTGAAAGGTTTAGATTGTACCGTTGTGAATTGGGAATGTCCCTCTTAAAATGGATTGTCACTTGAAATTACGCTTACAGTCCATTTAAAATGTTAGATACCGTCGAAAGCTCCCCCTCCCAGCCCTAATAAATTAGACTATATTCTTCTGACCCCCCCCCCCCCCCNCCCCCCCCATCTGTTTTCTCCCTCCCAAGGCAGTGTAGTTGAGTTTAAGATTAATAAGAAAATTTTGGCTGAATTTCTGGATTTGAAGCTGGGGAAGATGATAGTGTACTTAAACATCAATCAATCAGTCATACATAATCTCTCTTTAGAGAGGATAACCTTACCTTCACCTCTCTATCCTCAAACCATTATATGGAACTGTATCAACTTTTATACATCTGTTTCAAATTTTTTCCATCCCAAACCTCAAAAAGCAATATTTTCCCCCAAAATTTATAGTTTTCTGTGTAAATTGCTGTGTTAAAATAAATTTAGCACTTGTCTTACTATATTTGATATTTTTAACCCCAAACATTGTGGTTTGAAAACCAAAGCTAATTCCACTTTTTTNTGTTTATACCGCCTGAGAATCTGTATTTGCAAGGATAAATCATCTGTAAAAGAGTGAAGGGAGGGATTATTGACAAATATGGCATCATCAACCTTCAACACTTCTTCTCATTCTAAACTAAATATTCTACAAAATTCTACATTTATCAAGCAAGAAATTCGTCATATTTTGTGTTTGGGGAATAAATGGATAACAAAAAAACTTAATATATTTACTGTGTTGAAGATTATATTTGATTTGATTTGATTTGATTTGATTTGATTTAGTTGATAGAGTGGGACCTAAAAAATGTGGAATAAGAAGACGACAGTTAGTCTCAAGTTATAATTTTGAATAGTCCAATAAACACAGAAATTGTGCAGTGAACTCAGACTCATTTAACTTATACGTTGATTAGCTTTATAAAAACATCAAATACACATTATATATAAATATTAAAAATTGTCTTCTATTAATAAGTAGCATTGTTCTCCCTGTATTTAAATAAACATTTTTTTTAGTCTTCTCTGGTTCTGAGTAACGCCGGTTTGTATCCAGTAGCTTCTACGCAGTCCACTGTATCAGCAACAGGATCTACGCAGCTGGTTGCACCACTCAGTGGATCTAGTCTAGGACTAGCTAGAGCTCAAGTCTCACACGGGATTAGACAAGTAAGTTCAATAAAAGGTCATGATACAAACTTTTCATTTTTGTAAAAGACATACTTCAAGTTTTGAGATTTTTTTTTGTCATTTTTACCTTTTCAAGGTGTTGGCTTCACTTTTTGAATATAGTATTAGGTTATATTGTGTAAAGATGGAAGGGTTTGGATCAAGGTGTTTAACCCCCTACTATTAATGTTAAGGCTGTATTGTGTAAGGATGGAAGGATTGTGATCAAGGTGTTTAACCCCCCACTATTAATGTATATGTTGTATTGTGTAAGGATAGAAGGGTTTGGATCAAGGTGTTTAACCCCCTTCTATTAATGTTAAGGCTGTATTGTGTAAGGATGGAAGGATTGGGATCAAGGTGTTTAACCCCCCACTATTAATGTTTAGGTTGTATTGTGTAAGGATAGAAGGGTTGGGATCAAGGTGTTTAACCCCCCACTATTAATGTTTAGGTTGTATTGTGTAAGGATGGGAGGGTTGGGATCAAGGTGTTTAACCCCCACTATTAATGTTAAGGTTGTATTGTGTAAGGATAGAAGGGTTGGGATCAAGGTGTTTAACCCCCCATTATTAATGTTTAGGTTGTATTGTGTAAGGATGGAGATGGAAGGGTTGGAATCAAGGTAAAGGCTGTAAACAAAGGAATATTTGTTTGTCTGGTCACCAAGGATTCACCAGCTGCTGTCGGAGGACTCAGGTTAGATAATAAATATAAGTGTACCGTGTACTACGTACTGTATACTCTTTACTTAATGTACTGTGGACTGCAGTGTTCTACATGCATATTTACTTCATTCCGGTTTTCCTTTTCCCATCGTATCATGCAAAATCATTTTTATTCTTATTTTTTTTCTAGGGTCAATTTTTTCCTTTCTAATTTTAGCTTTTGGTTATTTTGTTTTAATTTGATAGAAATTTGACATATGATTATTTTTTAAGTTCTGCGTGTTTGCTCAAAATGTTGATTTGACTTTGATTAAAAAGCGGCTCTGAGGACAAATTTTAAGAATTTAAACACTGTCGCTGAGCCGCCAAAAACCAGCTCCAATTGAGCGCCGGCTCAAATCTCGAAACGCTGAATACCAACCATGTTTAAGCCGCGTCTCAAATTCTTAAAAAAAAAACAGCTCTGGGGTCTGGACACTAAGCATAGCCCCAAAATGTATGTTTCTACGTTAAATAGTTTTGAGTTGACGGAAAAGAAGATATTACATTATACACGATATTGACATGCATTTATCTTTATTAACTGTTGCAACATACACTATAGATATACATCCCCGTCTAGTGCAGAGTAGGCACTAGGCAGTAGTATCTTTGTTTATCTTTACTCTCTAGTTTTCTTTTATCTCCAAGAAGGGTCTAGAGTGCACAATGCACATATTGGCTTTATCCATTTTATAGAAATAAAAACTTGTACAAAATTTTATTTTGGTTTCTTTTTACCTTCCCGATTTCAAATTTTCTTTCTTTTTCACATCCATATATTTATTTATATATAAAGTAGTAATCTTTCTTTGTTTGTTTGGACTAAATTGCCTAAATTTTTGTAAGAGGAATTATGAATTGAGTTTGTGGACTTTAGATTTCTAGGTAAAGCTGGGTGTCCTTGTTTAATTATGTTTATTAAAAAAATAAATTACTATAAATGACAAAATTGCCACGAACGATTCACAGAGCTAAGAAAAAATGTAGATAACATTTTAATTCTTTCTTAATTGATTGTGACAGCAGCGATTCTAGAAGGCGACTCGTGGTGCAATACAAGCAAGCAAGAAAATGACCAACAAATTTTCTTGGAGATAACGTTGACAGCTCTTACCCCCTTTTGACCTTAACTAATGGAATATATAAAACTTTGCTAAGATACAACAAAATATTCAAGATATAGAAGTTTCTCTGGATTTGAAACAAAGTTTCGAAATTTAAATTTTGATTTTGACACTTGGCTGGTTTCAAGCTTAGCAGATAACTTTATAAGAGTACACACTACACAGAACAATAAAGTATTTTTAAAGTGGAAACTAAAACATTAATAATGACGGGTTTTTAGGCATGTAGTTTATCTTTTATGTTATTTTTTGTAAAAATAAATATATGCGGGACCAGCTCCGTATAATTATTCAATTAAGAAGATTTTATTTTAATACCAATAGTTTGAGAAAACCACATTTATAAATTCTTTTGATGTCTCCGAAGTTATAAGGGTTAAACTGTACATTGTTGAATGTTGATGTATGACTTTTTTAAATATATTGTTTATGGCAAAATCTGAAAATGCTTGGTTTAGGTTTGGAGATCAGATTCTTCAGATTAATGGACAAAGTGTAGCTGGACTATCTAGTGATAAGGTTAGCTGTTCATTTTATTTATTTATTTAGGTGTTTTTTTTTAGATTTTTTATGAGGAGGAAACGGGCGAGAGTTTTTTCTGTAAAATTTTAGCTATTATGTAATTTCTTGTTATTATATAAGTTTAATACTCAAGATAGTATTAATTAACCTTATGAACATGTGAGAACAATGTATTAAGTAAGCAAGGTTATATTTAAATCTGTTGTGCAGAAATCAGTTTACCAATTGTAAAATAGTCAAATTTTTTGTTTCTAGCCCTTCAATGTACCACTTCTAAGCTAGTACATGCACAAAGCTAAAATTTCTTCATGAAAGAAATCGAATTTAAAAATTTACATAACTGTAGGTTCACGACATGCTGAAGAAGGCCGGTGAGAACAATATTGTTTTGGCAGTCAGAGATCGACCTTTCGAGCGGACACTTACACTTCATAAGGTTAGTAAACATCGCCCTTCACAGGGGATTAATCCAGGGAATAGGAATAAAGGGAAAGGAAAGGGTGCTGGTCTGGCATGAGAAAACCAGTCGCACTGCTTAGCAGACAAGTTCGGTAAACTTTACACACACTCTTTTGGTACAGACACACAACATGACTACAGTCAAGGAAATTGCAGAACAATGTTGTCAATTATAATTAAGCTTGAATAACGAGTATAGTTTATTGTACATTTTAATCAAATTATATTCTTTGCATGAAAATTTGGCTTTTAGTGTTGACTTAAATATATAAATAATATATACTACATGTATATTGAACTTATTTTTAAGTAAACAATTAACAATAAACAAATGTACTCTCCTAGACTGTACAAATACCGAGATTCTTATGTACTGTATATACCTACAGTACACACCTTCGGTACGGTAAACTTTACACACATGACGTTTCCGCCCCCTGGGATTTATTCAGTGGAAACGGTGGAAAATCAAGACGACATTTTTACAATCTTAAACAATGATTTTTAGGGTAAAAAAAAAAACATCAAAAAGAATGAAGCCTTATGATGTTTATTTTTTAGGAGGAAAATAAACGAATTTTTGATAAAATTATCAAAATATTAAGAAAAAAACTTGTATTTAATTTCTAATTTTTAATTTTTTTCATAGATTATCATTTCTATGAATTTTTCATAGATGTACATTTCTATGAATTTCATTAAAACTATTTTATTTCAACTAAATCTACCCACAGATGAGAACCTAATACTGTGTATATACGATCCAATTTACATATGAAAGAAATGCTATTCACGGGTATTTAAATATATTTCATGTCGCGAAGTGTTATATAAAATTGGAATATATTAGAAAAAAAACTTATATATAGATATTACGTTATTTTTAATATGAACTCTATGAACAAACCTGATAAATACAGTTGACACTTTTTAAGAAATCATTTAACATGAAAAATTGAAAATTATTAATAACTATAATAAATGTTGAAGTTAAATTCTATATTTTTTATTGTAAAATTAATAAATTTGCTCTTAAAGAAGTAAAATTTGCAGCGATCTCTTTCCTCTAACGGTGACAGTCCGTTTATGATGTAGATATTATTTATTGTTATAAATAATCTGATTGTTTAGGATTCTACCGGCCATATTGGATTCCAGTTTAAGGAAGGAAAGATTAACAGTATAGCGGTGAACTCGTCTGCTGCCAGGAACGGTCTCCTGGTAGATCATAACCTGCTCGAGGTATAGAATAGGGCTTTAAAGGGACTGTAAGTGATCATCTAAGCAAAGATGGAAATGACCGATTCAAATCGGTATCCATGAAACCTTTATAGGATCAATAATGTGGAAGATATTTCAGGTTACCAGAACGTGAATCGGACATTGCCATATTTGCATGAAGGGTCAGTTGAAATTATGCTTACAGTTCCTTTACCATTAATAAAGTCTTGTAAAACATTTGAAAAGCGATAATAATATATAGGGCTAGCATTTGGACAATTTTTTATATGTAGAGGTAATACTAATAACAATAACAGATCATTGAATTTTACCGAAATTACTTAATCGAAAGTAAGTAAGATGACAATCATTCGTAGTTTTCTGGTTATTACTGTGTTCTGTTCCATACAACCTTAAGGTTTTGGAGTGAAAAACACTAAATGGTTGGCCTTCTGTTTTCCTCATCATAAATAACATATTTTAATTTAACTGTGAATATTTTCTCTTTATGTGCATTGTCAATAATAAAAAAAGTTCGCGGATTTAATTTTTTTCAATCTTAGATAATTGTATATTATTGTATTGTTGGTGAAGGACAGAATGTAGTTGGAGTGAAGGATATTTTGTATAATATTGTATTCTAGGTGAATGGACAGAATATATTGTATATTATTGTATTCTAGGTGAATGGACAGAATATATTGTATATTATTGTATCCTAGGTGAATGGGCAGAATGTAGTTGGAGTGAATAATATATTGTATATTATTGTTTCCTAGGTGAATGGACAGAATGTAGTTGGAGTGAATGATATATTGTATATTATTGTATCCTAGGTGAATAGACAGAATATATTGTATATTATTGTATTCTAGGTGAATGGGCAGAATATATTGTATATTATTGTATCCTAGGTGAATAGACAGAATGTAGTTGGAGTGAATGATATATTGTATATTATTGTATCCTAGGTGAATGGACAGAATATATTGTATATTATTGTATCCTAGGTGAATGGGCAGAATGTAGTTGGAGTGAATAATATATTGTATATTATTGTATCCTAGGTGAATGGACAGAATGTAGTTGGAGTGAAGGATATATTGTATATTATTGTATCCTAGGTGAATGGACAGAATGTAGTTGGAGTGAAGGATATATTGTATATTATTGTATCCTAGGTGAAATATATTGTATATTATTGTATCCTAGGTGAATGGACAGAATGTAGTTGGAGTGAAGGATATATTGTATATTATTGTATCCTAGGTGAATGGACAGAATATATTGTATATTATTGTATCCTAGGTGAATGGACAGAATGTAGTTGGAGTGAAGGATATATTGTATATTATTGTATTCTAGGTGAATGGACAGAATATATTGTATATTATTGTATTCTAGGTGAATGGACAGAATGTAGTTGGAGTGAATGATATATTGTATATTATTGTATTCTAGGTGAATGGGCAGAATGTAGTTGGAGTGAAGGATAAAGATATATCCAAGTATATCGAAGAAGGAGGAAGTATTATTACAATCACCATTATACCTTCATATATTTACAACCACATCATGAAGAAGTAAGTAGATAAAGTAAAAAAATACTTGCAATCTTACTATTTGCCATTTAAATCTCTTATTCCCCTTCTAAAATCATTTTGTTTTTCCAGGAGTTAGTTATTTATTGAGGTAACTAAATGATTTTAGAAGAACTTAAATTAATTTGTTTTATTTTTAACAAAAGTGAAAACCACTTCTTTTGATTTTTGTTTAGGTCTAATTCTTAATTTGTTTAGTATGTCGTCGTCCTTGGTGAAGAAACTGATGGATCATTCTATTCCAGAAATCTAAATGCCATGTTATGTACTGTTTCTGTACTGTACTGAGTGTAGTGGACATTATACACTGCACACTCTACGTAATTATTCTTGGCTAACAATATCGTAAATTTTTGTTGGTTTGCTAAATTTTACAAACGTAGCCAAATTCTTGTTCTTACTAAGCAGGGCAAATTTGCATTTTATATACTCAATATTTTCGTCATACGAGTTTTTTCCTCATTAACTATAAATTTTCATTTGTTCGTTATTTTCTGTTTTGCGATTATATTGCAAACCTTGTATCATTTCATGTTATCTTTTGTCAATAAATCATTTACTCGAACTTTGCTCTTTTTTGTGTATTTAAACTTTTTATCATAAAATATAAGAGAACGGCTCAGATGAGAAGAACAATTCAACAGTGGATGTTCACAAAACTAGAGATTAAGCCTAAAACCTATCTTGAAGTACACGTCTCGTGAAAAAACATTTCATCAAGAAATCCTCAAGGAACAACTGTCTTACATAAGAAATTAAAAAGTTCAAAAGTCACTTAAAATTCAAATTCATCTCTCAAAAAAAATTATTTCTAAAATTAAATGAAAAATCTTAAATCTTAAAGCAAATCGCAAAAAGGGAAAAGAAAAACCACAAAATAGTCGATTGAATTCAAGGAAAGGTAATTGTAATTGTGATCTATTTGAACCTTCAGTACTTTGATAAGAGATGAGTTTATTTGCAAAAGTTTCAGACGGATCATTTAAAAAATCAACATTTGGACATCTTGTTATTAACTTTTGTTCTATAAGAGAAGAAAAAACTGAATTAAATCGTGATTTCCAAATATGGCTTCGGGTGAGTACTGCTCTTTTCTGTAGGGACTGTAAAGGAAAAATGAAAGGGGGTATAGGATGACACCTGAGAGATACATATCTCACATCTTTCTGATGTTCCTGTCTAGAGAAATTGATATAAGACTGTGTCAAAATTATACAAAAAATCATATATATACAATTTTGTATAAAAGTAGTAGGTTTAAACAGATCATATTCTGCGAATACGCAACCAATCTAAAAACGATTATATCCCACAGGAGCTTGAGAATATCAGGTTTGCTCCTATTATAATTTTTTAATTTCTATTTTGCATTTTTGATAGATATAATTGATAATACTATTTCATATAGTCAATATAACCGTATTACGTCACCAGAACTTCAGCCAATAACAGTGCAGTGTACTGGTCACATGATTACCTTATGTATCACATGACCAGTATACTGCACTGCCATTGGCTGAAGTTCTGGTGACATAATGCGGACTAAATGTAATGCGCTTTTCTGTAGTAATTAACCAAAGAAAAAACTTGTATTTATTTGGTACGATAAAGTGAAAAAAACGTCTGATCCGAAACTAAAATTCTTATTTTAAGATAAGACTAAATTCTGAACCAAGAAGACCTAGGACTGGAATTCGAAACCAAGAGAAGACCTGGGACTAGAATTCTAAACAAAGAAAAGACTAACACAATTCTAAACCAAGAAGACCTAGGAATCGAATTCTAAACCAAGAAGACCTAGGAATCGAATTCTAAACCAAGAAGAGACCTAGGACTAGAATTCTAAACCAAGAAGAGACCTAGGAATTGAATTCTAAACAAAGAAGAGACCTAGGACTAGAATTCTAAACCAAGAAGAGACCTAGGACTAGAATTCTAAGCCAAGAAAAGACCTAGGACTAGAATTCTAAACCAAGAATACCTAGGACTAGAATTCTAAACCAAGAAGAGACCTAGGACTAGAATTCTAAACCTAGAGAAGACCTAGGACTAGATTTCTAAACCAAGAGAAGACCTAGGACTAGAATTCTAAACCAAGAGAAGACCTAGGACTAGAATTCTAAACCAAGAAGACATAGGAATCGAATTCTAAACCAAGAAGAGACCTATGACTAGAATTCTAAACCAAGAAGAGACCTAGCAATTGAATTCTAAACTAAGAAGAAGACCTAGGACTAGAATTCTAAACCAAGAAAAGACCTAGGACTAGAATTCTAAACCAAGAGAAGACCTAGGACTAGAATTCTAAACCAAGAAGAGACCTATAGGACTAAAATTCTAAACCAAGAGAAGACCTAGGACTAGAATTCTAAACCAAGAGAAGAACTAGGACTATAATTCTAAACCAAGAAGAGACCTAGGACTAGAATTATAAACAAAGAAAAGACTAACAAAATTCTAAACCAAGAAAAGACCTGGGACTAGAATTCTAAACAAAGAAAAGACTAACATAATTCTAAACCAAGAAGACCTAGGAATTGAATTCTAAACCAAGAAGAGACCTAGGACTAGAATTCTAAACCAAGAAAAACCTAAAGAGTTAAAGATCGCAAACTACAGTCTCGTGTTCTATATTTAACCCTGGTTGTTTAAAAAGATATTTAATTCATGTTTACTTGCACACCCTGTAATATAATTATATATTTTGAATAGAAGTTGAACTGTATAAAATGTATTGTGTAGGATCTAGTTCTTTGTTTTCTAATCCTACATGATCTCCACCTACCCTATCCTTTAGTCAGAGATACTTCTCCCTACCCTACCTTATCCTTCAGTCAAAGATACTTCTCCACCCTACCCTATCCTTTAGTCAGAGATACTTCACCCTACCCTACTCTATCCTTTAGTCAGAGATACTTCTCCACCCTACTGTATCCTTTAGTCAGAGATACTTCTCCACCCTCCCGTATCCTTTAGTCAGAGATACTTCTCCACCCTAGATATACTTCTCCACCCTACCCTATCCTTTAGTCAGAGATACTTCTCCACCCTACCTTATCCTTTAGTCAGAGATACTTCTCCACCCTACCCTATCCTTTAGTCAGAGATACTTCTCCACCCTACTCTGTCCTCTAGTCAGAGATACTTCTCCACCCTACCCTATCCTATAGTCAGAGATACTTCTCCACCCTACCCTATCCGTTAGTCAGAGTACTTCTCCACCCTACCCTATCCTTTAGTCAGAGATACTTCTCCACCCTACTCTATTCTTTAGTCAGAGATACTTCTCCACCCTACTCTATCCTCTAGTCAGAGATACTTCTCCACCCTACCCTATCCTATAGTCAGAGATACTTCTCCACCCTACCCTATCCGTTAGTCAGAGTACTTATCCACCCTACCCTATCCTTTAGTCAGAGATACTTCTCCACCCTACTCTATCCTCTAGTCAGAGATACTTCTCCACCCTACCCTATCCTATAGTCAGAGATACTTCTCCACCCTACCCTATCCGTTAGTCAGAGTACTTATCCACCCTACCCTATCCTTTAGTCAGAGATACTTCTCCACCCTACTCTATCCTCTAGTCAGAGATACTTCTCCACCCTACTCTATCCTATAGTCAGAGATACTTCTCCACCCTACTCTATCCTATAGTCGGAGATACTTCTCTACCCTAATCTATCCGTTAGCTAAATATAATCATACAATGATATTACTGACTAAACCTGCGCATGTCTAAAAAATGATAGTTTAAAAAAATTTTAATAATTGTCTTTATCTGCATTTATGTTTACTTTCTCTTTAGTGTCACGCTTCCTGTTAAAAAATGGAGAAAGACATTTAAAACGTTTTCAAAATGTTTATTTGGACACAATATAAACACGTCCTATCTCATTAATATATGTTTATTTGGACACAATATTAACACGTCCTATCTCATTAATATATGCATGGTTAATTAATTCTAACAGTTTAATTTCAATAAGAATGCGAAAATCTTAAACGACTAAATGCATACATGTCAGTGGTAGCTTTTTTCACTTTTTTTGTAGATTTTTTATGGATCAAAATGTCATCTTAACCTTTAGAGAGTTTAAAACTATTTAAAGTCAGCCATTCAAATATGATTTTGTAATAAGCAAATACTTTTAAAAAAAATATTTTATGAATCTTTTAAATAGTTAATGCGAAGAAATATAATCTTAAAAATTATATTTAAATCCTTAATTTTTTAATTGAAACAATAACAATGAATCTAAATTATCCTCCATCCCTCCCCTAAATGTTGCAAGATATTGTTTAAATGGTTTGAAACCGGTCTCTTCAAGTTTATATAAATACTTGTTACATTAGTTCTACAACAGTTCATTGATTGTCGTCAAGCAGGTTGGTTCTCCTCATGGTATAATATTGTCTATAAATTTGTTTGTTTGTTTGTTTGATCGTGTAAAAGAGCAAAACTGGTGAACGGATCCATTTTTAGGGTATTTTACGTATTTATCAACTAACTAGAGCAGGAACCCAGCTTTGCCTGGAAACTATGATTTTTTTATAAACTTTTAAACCAAGCTAAGAACATTCCCGTGGTTCTACCGAGTTCCCCATCAGAATGTGAGGCAAATCGGTCAATGGGTTCCTGAGTTATGACCAGACATACAAACAAACAGAGATTAATACTTTATATAAATATAGATACCATTCTGTTGTTAATTGTTAAAAGTTGTGTAAGATTTTGTAAAGTTTTCTGAGATTCTATCAATGTTTGTGAGATTCTAAAAAAGTTTTATGAGATTCTATCAAAGTTTATGAGATTCTATCAATGTTAAGAGATTCTATCAAAGTTTTTTGAGATTCTATCAAAGTTTATAAAGTTCTAACAAAGTTTTTGAGATTTTATAAAAGTTTATGAGATTTTATCAAAGTCTATGAGATTCTATTAAAGTTTATGAGATTCTAACAAAGTTTTATGAGATTCTTTCAAAGTTTTATGAGATTTTTATCAAAGTGTTATGAGATTCTATCATATTTGTACTTGAAAACGATGCCCGAAAGCTCAATGAAAGCAATTTATTAGAAGTTAAATATAGATATATTCACTGCTCAAAATGTAGTTTCCTCGCATGAAGTAGTTTAGTTTAACTTAGTGTTCCGTAAAGTAAAATTGATAAACCATCAAATTGCTCGAAACTTGAACCTGAAGATTATATAGTATATCTAATAGGATGAAAGTGTTACTCCTGAGTTTGCTGGTTGGATTGAGTTCAGCTGTTATCTTGGAGACTAAACCCTTCAAGAGACTTATTCCTGCAGATATACTCAGAGGTTAGTTTGATAAACCTCACATAGATGGCAGGGCAGTCGGTAACATTTTATTGATTTACTCTTGTAGTTCCGTCAAGGTCACCAAGTTTTATTACCAGAGTTGGAATGAAATACAGATGCAGTAAAAAACCTGATTTAAACTATCGATGAACTATAAATTTCAAACAATGGCAATAAACAAAAATGCCATAAATAATATTCCTTTTTATTTTGCAGATTTCCGTGACAGCTGCTTCGCGTCAACAAGCTGCAAGGTTTATAAACCAGAAGAGGGATGGAGTCTGTCTCCGTTCTGTGGAGCTTCTAAATGCGTTAAACTGAGTAGGTTTTCCTGTCGTAAATATATTTATTTGTTTTATATAGAATCCATTTCAATTATGGCAATTATTTTATTTAAAATTTAATCATAAATTTTAATCACATCGTGTTTTTGTCAATTCTATTCTATTTCTAGAGTCTGGTAGATTGGCCGAGGAGGTCACAGATTGTGGACCAGTTCTAGATCTAGAGAATACTCCAGGATGCGTTCTACTCAAGGTATAGTTCTAGATCTAGAGAATACTCCAGGATGTATTCTACTCAAGGTATAGTTCTAGATCTAGAGAATATTCCAGGATGTATTCTACTCAAGGTATATTTCTAGATCTAGAGAATTCTCCAGGATGTATTCTACTCAAGCTATATAGTTCTAGATCTAGAGAATACTCCAGGATGTATTCTACTCAAGGTATAGTTCTAGATCTATAGAATACTCCAGGATGTATTCTACTCAAGGTATATTTTTAGATCTAGAGAATACTCCAGGATGTATTCTACTCAAGGTAAAGTTCTAGATCTAGAGAATACTCCAGGATGTATTCTACTCAAAGTATAGTTCTAGATCTAGAGAATACTCCAGGATGTATTCTACTCAAGGTATATTTCTAGATCTAGAGAATACTCCAGGATATATTCTACTCAAGGTATAGTTCTAGATCTAGAGAATACTCCAGGATG